CTACTAAAAAGATCTTGAACTTCAATATCGGAGTTCTTGGCCATATCGACAGTGGAAAAACATCACTTGCTAAAGCTTTAAGCTCCACTGCATCCACAGCCTCATTTGATAAAAACCCTCAAAGTAAGGAACGCGGCATAACTCTGGACCTCGGCTTTTCCTCGTTCCAAGTACCAATCCCCGAGCACCTAAAGGAGCACGGATTCGACATCCTTCAGTTTACCCTCGTCGATTGCCCGGGCCATGCCTCTCTGATCCGGACAATCATCGGAGGTGCTCAGATTATCGATATGATGATGCTTGTTGTCGATGTTACCAAGGGAATACAGACCCAGACTGCCGAGTGTCTTGTGATTGGAGAAATACTATGCGAGAAGATGATCGTTGTGTTGAACAAGACTGACTTGTTAAAAGAAGATAAAAAACAAGCTTTAATCGAAAAGGTAAGTGTTTGCTCCAGGACTCTGTTTAATTCCTCGTTTTTATTTACTGAACGAACACGTGGGAAACAAGTCGATGTTTTCGATCTAGGTAAGGACTCCTTTAAACCTTTAACTGTGAGTGACCAAGACAGAATTTCTCTTTACTAGTTCTTATTAACCGAGCGTGAGGTCTGTATGGGAGAATCTTGCCCAAGGTCGCCAGTACAGAATGAACGCAAAGAGGTCAGTACCAGCGACTGAGGTCAAGATTCTCCCATACAGACTGACGTAGCTCAGTTAATAAGATGTTTATTATATGGCTGTGTCTTATATGCCAATTTTTTTATATTCTTTGTACCTTTTTTTTCTAGACCGGTCTAGATGCTGGTCTAGATGGGAAAATCTAGACCGCTTTCAATATTGATTTCAGCCAATCAAATTCCTGAATTTGGTAGTTCCCAGTCCTTGTGAGACACAGCCATATAATAATTAACAACTATTCACTAAAGTGGAGGTGGTTAGTGGTGGACATTTACTGAGCCGCGAAGCGGGGAGGTAAATATCAACCGCTAACCACCAACACTGAGGTAAATAGTTGTTTTAGTATGTACTAAAACAGTGAGATAATATACACCACCAAAATTAGTTTGTGATTTCTTCACTTGTCACGGATGCAAACCGGACACCATTTTTTCCCCGAGTTGCTCGGAGGTAAATAGCAAAGGATATTTGGAGTTTGACTAGCCAATCAGAGCGCACCTTCAACGCCATCCACTGTTTTAGTATATACTAAAATATAATATCAAGCAGACAAGTGATGAGAATAAAGAAAAATATCAATCAGTGGATTATTAGTTGATCCACCACCGAATTCTTTTAAGTAACATTAGAATTGTATGGCACAAAGAAAGAAGAATTACTATTGAGATCTTGGGAGTGAAAGCTTGTCCTTTGTGCACCCAAGGGACAAGCTTCAGGTTGTTAAGGATCCCCATTCATTAAAAAAAAGTTATGCCCAGTGGAAAAACAGGAACTTTTTAGCCTTATAATTTCAATATTGATTGACATGTAGCTTCTGTATACTAGGCAAACAAACCTGATCGATTCAATGAATAATTATTTATATTTATCGTAAAGTTATTGAATGTCTATTATGACAAAATGATCTGAAGGTGGTTAATGTGACATATAATGGTAATAGGACTGAATTTGGGGTTCAATTTAGGTGGTAGCTGCATGCAAGTGTTAATCAAAATTGTATGATCGCAAAATGGTAGTCGAATTTGTTAATCACCTATATAATTACAAACAGAGTTGGGTAACACGAATTCCCATTAAACAAATTGTCTTTGACAGCACTTATGAAAATATATCAAAATCAGCAGGGACCGCGGAGCAAGGTGTAAAGTGGGAGGGCTGATAATTGAAAATAATTTTTTTATTTTGAAAATCGAAAAAAGGAATAAAATTATAGTAATTCTTTTTCTTTTTAGTGCAAAAAGTGGGGGCGGGGCGCAAAAAAGTGGTGGGACCGCGGCCCTACTGGCTCCTCCCCCTTCGCAGTCCCTGATCAGTGTGGAGAAGATTCATGCTGATGCTGATGCAGGAGGTGTCAAAGGTTAACCCTTTAACTACCAAGATCTGACTGTTGATTCTCCCCTCTAGCTCTTACACACTTCCTTGTAAAATGGATATATCAACAAAGTTGAAATGGTAAATTGGCCACCGTAATGATTACAAAAGCTGACGTTTCNTGCATAACTTGCACTTATTGCAAAAAGATATACATCGGCGAAACAGGCAGAAGACTAGGTGACCGATTCCGAGAACACCTTCGAGACGTGGAAAGGAATGACAAGGACACATCGAAACCAGTCGCTAGACATTTTAATTTACCTAATCATTCTAAGCAACATATGGCAATCTGCGGTCTTTCCTTGCACTTAGGTGGCACGGAAAGCCGTAAAAATCTTGAACAAAAGCTCATCTTTCAAACCGGCAGTCTAAATCCCACAGGGATCAATGAACGCTTTTCATTCCACTAATTTATTCATGTTTTTCTCGTTGCCATGCACCCACCAATAACGTAGCTCCATTTTCTGCCTTTAAAAGCACACACAACCCACAATTCCTCTATTCGCTTCGACGAAGGGCTAACGCTTGAAACGTCAGCTTTTGTAATCATTACGGTGGCCAATTTACCATTTCAACTTTGTTGATATATCCAAATTATTTCGTTACTCCCACCGACGCAGCCCCAAACAGTTTCTTTCGAAACTATCAGCCTTTATCCTTGTAAAATGGTTATGAGAATTTGGTGTTCAATCAAGATAACTTGAACCTGATAAGCTTGAGTATTCTCACTACCTGTTTGCTAGGTAATGTATGGATGTAATAAGGAGAAGTTACATGTTAATCACTTTTGGGAGCAAAAGGGTTAACTTTCATGGTCTTATTCATGCTCCTCCCTTCTTGATGATTGTCATTTCCTTTTAAATTCAGTTCAGAGAATTGGGTGCTCAATCAAGGTCAGAGCCTTCTTATGCCCTAACAACAGCATGCATATTCTCCATACTGTTCTCTATACATATTCGAAGGTGCCGATGAGGAGAATGTGTTTAACAATCAAGACCTTCTTTTGTTAGAGATAATTTCCTTTTTTTCCATGGCCTGAATTTTGGATTAAGGGGTGATGTTGTTAGGAAAAATTAGATATTAGTCACTCTAAGTGTTAAAGGGTTAAGCTTCTGTGGTATCTATTCTCATTATCTATGGCTGAGATATTAGATTTAAATTGTCTGGAGAAGATGCATGTAAATCGCTAGCCATAGTTAAAGGTTTATCCTTTTTTTTTCAGATGACCAAGAAGCTTACCAAGACATTGGAAAGCACCAAGTTTGCAGGTTCTCCAATTTTACCAGTCTCAGCTAAGCCTGGCGGACCTGACTCCCCAGATTTTGAACCTGTTGGAACACAGATGCTAGTTGATTTACTCTCATCCTTGTCATACCTTCCTAACAGAGATCCTTCTGGACCACTGGTATTTGCTGTTGACCACTGCTTCTCCATTCGCGGTCAAGGCACCGTGATGACAGGTACTATTCTTAGTGGAAGTCTCAAAGTTAATGATACAATTGAGATCCCCTCGCTCAAGATCACCAAGAAGGTCAAATCCATGCAAATGTTCAAGGCTCCTGTCACAGAAGCTTCACAAGGTGATAGAGTGGGCATCTGCGTCACCCAATTTGATCCAAAGCTGTTGGAGAGAGGCCTAGTTTGTAGTCCTAGCACAGTACCCACTGTTTTTGCTGCAGTTGTTTCAGTTAAACCAATATCATACTACAAAGGAACCATCACTTCAAAATCAAAGTTTCACATAACAATTGGTCATGAAACTGTGATGGGTACACTACAAGTGTTTGGCCTTCCTCCTGGCCAATCAATGGATCCCACTGTACAAGAAGCCTTTGATATCTCTAGAGAGTACGTCTTTCAAGAAGATGTAGTAGATCAGTCAAAGAAAAGTTTAAGCACAGGTGGTAGTGAAAATTCAGGTCCAGAAACCAAGCCTGTTTCACATCATCAGTGGCTTTTCATTGAGTTTGAAAAACCTGTGACATGCCCAGAACATTCTCTTGTGATTGGCTCACGTCTTGATTCTGATATTCATCTTAACGTCTGCAGAATAGCTTTTCATGGAAGATTATTACTCCCAGTGACTGAGAAGAACTTTAAGGAAACCCTCTTACCTCAACTTAAGATTTACAAGATCAAGGCGAAGCAAGGTGTTGTTGAGAGAATGGCAGATGAATATTCTGTCATTGCTCATTCTTTGTTTAAGAAAGAAACAAACATTCAGAATTTTGTGGGTATGAAAGTGACCCTGTCGACTGGGGAACAAGGAATGATTGAAGGTGGTTTTGGTCAAAGTGGTAAGGTCAAGATCAGAATTGCTACAGGCTTGTCTCCTGATACTGTTTCGAAACTTTCTTCTGGTGGAAAGAAAAAAGGTGGTGGGAAAAATAAAGGAACCACTTCCGAAACTCCAAATGAGGAAACAAATTCTTCAGAGCAAGTGGCAAAACCTATCAAAGTAACACTGGAGTTTAAGCGATACAATTATGATCCAAAAAAGAAAATGATTCAGTAAAGAGCTTTTTAAAACCCTGTGCACCCAAACATTCATATTCTCCATACTGTTCTGTTTACATTTTGTATGGTATTGACATGGAGAATTTGATTGACAATCAGGAGCTTCTTAAATTGGTGATCATTTACCTAATTCTCATGACCTTTACATTTGATTTAAGGGTGATGCTTTAAGGAGAAAGCAGAAATCAGTAACCCACACATTGATTAAAAGGATATCACTGATCTATGTGGAACATCACAATAAATTTTAATGTTAGTAGTTTTTACCAACTGTCATAATTCCCCTGTATTCATTGGGGATTAATTTTTTTGAAGCATAGGTTTAAATACCTCTGAGCTGCAAATTAAATCATAAAAAGTGTGGGAAAGAATTGCACCTTGCATTACAAGCTCAAAGATTCATTGAGGTGATATCTGAAGGTTTTCTTGAGAGAAAATTTGTTTTTTTGATCACTTGTTCTATCAGACAATAGTTCCTTTAAAATGCATTTGTCTTTTACTGGGAAAATAGTTCCACTGCATTTAAGATTATCAAGGAAGGAAAGTGATTGTCAAGTTTAACCATTTAACTCCCCAAGATCTGATTGTTATTTCTCCACTCTAGCTGCTACACATTTCCTTGTAAATTGGTTTCAAGAATTTGCTGTTCAATCAAGGTAAAAACTACCTGATAAGTTGGAGTATTCTCATAACCTATTTGCTGGGTAATATATGGACATTATAGGGAGAAGTTTTATGTTAATCACTTCTGGGAGTTATAGGTTTAAGATTCCTAATTTTTTCTTAGACCGTCGCTCCTAAGGGTATCTTATACACCACTCTTTCAATATCACAAAACTCCCATCAGTGACCACGACAGAATTTCTCTCTACAGTGTCAACACAATTTCGAGCAGACAAGTGATAAGAATATTTAGGTCTTATTAACCGAGCAGGAGGTCTGCATGGGAGAATCTTGACCGAGGTCGCCAGCACAGACTGAAAGCAGAGAGGTCTGTACCAGTGACCCAGGTCAAGATTCTCCCATACAGACCGACCTAGCTCGGTTAATAAGATGTTTTTTATATGGCTGTGTCTTATATGCCAATTTTTTAAATCCTTTGTGCCTTTTTTTTCCAAACCGGTCTAGATGCCAGTCTGGATGGGAAAATCTAGACTGCTTTCAATATTGATTTCAGCTAATCAAATTTGTGAATTCGGTTGTTCCCAGTCCTTGTGAGACACAGCCATATAATAAAGACAGGTATAAACTAGGGGACTAGTAGTTGACCCAATACCAAATTCTCAGAATTAATATCATAAGAGCTGTAAGGCAGACAGTTAGGAGAATTGCTAATGAGATCTTGGGGAGTGTACGGGTCAAATATCAAACAGTATTAAGTACCGTATGTCAGAAGAGGAAAATGTATGATTTACCTGTAACACTAAATTCTCATGACTGATATGATTAGAAATATATGGAAGACAGTGACAAGAATTCATTTTGTGGTATCGGTAATAAAAAGGCTATGGCTTTCGGATTGGGTGATCTGGTAGTTTTATAGTTCAGAATTTTTTTATTCTTATGGCCATCCTGATATTGGTTGGTAAAAGCTAGGAAAATGGAACTGAAACTGAAATTACATTTACATGCACGCAGTCATGAAATAAGAATTAGATTTAGAGATGGTACACCCTAGCGTAAGTATGATATGATCCGTATTGTTCTCTACATATTTCCTTAGGTGCTGGCAAGGAGAAACTGCTTGACAATCAAGAGCTTCTTTAGTTTTCATGACCCATGTTATAAGGACAAAACCAGATAGACTGAAGAGAACGTGGAAAGACCGAGAGAAACAGTCTACTAGGACATGTCAACTCCTTTTTAAGTTATTTTTAGTTCTAGATGGAAACAAGTCTCCTTCCCTTGACAACCACATTGTGAATGTACTCTTGTTCTTTTTCAAATTAGATTTTTTTTGACAGAAGAAATCTCCAGACTGGTTGCCATCTCATTTTTTTCTCGCTGATGTCTCGGAAAACAGATTTGCGCATATTCTGTTACTCACTGATTGAAGATGGCATAAGCATGCCGAAACATGTCTCTCAAAAAAGTTGTCTATTTCTTACAATAAATCTATGAATAGATCTAATAGTGGTATTAAGGTTATTTCCCACCTTTGCGGGCGTCCTTCGGGAAAAAATTCGTACGCGCGCCAGTTTCACTAAATTCCCAGCAAACTGGGAAGAAGATAGTTCAGTAAATGCAGTTTACCGAAAAAAAAAATTTTAACGAGTTTTTCTTTTTAGAAGTGTCAGGAGCCGGCAAAGCGTAAAACGACCGAGAGTTCTTCTATTGAATTCATTGGGTATCAGATGCTGCAGCACAAGTAAAATGGCTGCATAGTCTTATTCACAAGGAATCAATGAACGAAAGTGTCTGGCTTTTTTCGATATGCTGATTGGTTGTCTAGATATCGGCATCTCAAGTTGGATTAGCTAAAAATATGCGATTTGTGAATGGACGCCACGGGACAGATTTTCAGACATCAAAATTTCCCGACACGCTTTTGTTTGTCATTATTCCTGGAACGCTTTGGCGAAAATTGACGAAAATCGGTTAAATCTAAATACCCTATAAAATCGCTCAGAGTGGATGTATTGCTCCCCAAATCAAATGCCAGATTGTAGCTCTTACTAGCCTGTGTGCAGCTACCCCTTCCCTACTTTTGGAGGCCAACTCGCGCCACGCCAAGAGCCTCTCGCCTCCTGAAACCACATACCAATGGAACAACAGGATCCCCTGGTGCAATGACGATGGATCAAGATTTCCCGGAAAAAAGCAACGCATTGGAGACCCCCCCCCCTTTTTTTTTTATCTCGATCGCACAGTGGAGCGTTGAGGAGGAAGACACAATAATGGGCGAAGTTGCCAAAGGCAAAGGAAAAACTCGCGGCAAAATGGAGAAAGCGGAAAATGTGCCGAGGATCAAGAAAACGAATTGACAGGCAGCCGCCCAAAATTACGATCGGAGGCGATAGTTAATGTTTTTATATCAAGACTGATACTTGCATAAATAAAAGAAAACCTCGTGTTTAAATGTATGTATGACAAATTTTATATTCTAATTCACTACCCCGCTCAAACGAGTATAAAACATTTATCATTCAATAGGTAACCATGATTGGGGTGTGTCAACACGAGCCGTATGCGACCCTCTTTATTATGCCTTCATCTACAAAATTGATAGGAATGGTACATCAACGGAATGAAAACTCGGAAATGTAAAAAATAGAGCAAGTACAACTACCCTAAAAAACAATCTAAACTATGTTCGTACATGCAAAAACTACTTCAAAGGGAAACTGACAATCCCTAGTCACTGGGTATTTAATTTTGAGGGCGTAGGGACGGTCGTATGACGCGAATGAATATAAATGACAACAGCTCGAATATATATAGCCTACCGCTAATGAAGCATTGTGACAACATACCATGCAACAACCCAAAGAAAGGGTTAGGTAACCCATGATAAATACATTTGGTTTGACGGCGACTTGTTTGTTCGAAGTCTGGACGCCAGCGTGGATCGTAGTACCAGTCGCTTTAGCCAAGGGTTTTTTCTTTTCTTGACAGAGTAGTACTCTTTCTTTCCTCTTTGGGCCTGTTTGTTTGTTGTTGTTTTTTTTAGGGACTTTTTTCTGCAATAAAATTGACGCCTCCTCCTGCAGCATTTTCCCGCTTGTTCTTGAGACGGTGATCTCAGCGAAAATAGATTGTCTGCAAATTTGAATGATTCCATAGCAACCAGAACGCCTAAGAAAACAATGTTTTAAAAAAAATAAAAAGATAAATATATAGACAAGGAATTAAAGTCCGTAGAACTCCCAAGGGGGCTTCGACATCCGGACCAGGGTGTATGCCAGGGGTACCAATCCATAATTTCCATAATTTTCATAACTTTCTTCACGTAGCTTAGCGTTGCAGGAGTTTTAAGAGAAAGGAAAGGTATCGAAGCTTCCCTCAACCAGTGGTGCATGAAATTCTTTACTCGGAATGACAAAAAAAAAGCGTAGTATTTCCGGTTTTTCCGTGAAAATAGCAGGCAACGAGCTATTTTTGTTGGGTTAGAAGGTGGTCGAGGGGCTCTGGGTACCAGTACTTCACGACGCGCATGTCTGAATGCGAAGTCATGCCGGAAAATGGTGGACATAGTCATTGCTGAAGAGAGTTTCCATTTCTCTTCAGCGTTTTTCGCTGACCTGAGCATAAAATGAGTGAAGAGAACGAACCAGACCTCTTTGGAGCAGATCTCCTGTCAGAAGCCTTAGGACAGAGTGGTCTTAATCTAGATGATTTGTTTGGAAATCCACCGGGTACATTTTTGTCCCAGAGCCTACTTGACGTTGCGGATGTCACACCAGACGATTTCGATTTCCTTGATAATTTCAATTTAAACGGAGATTTCTTTCCAGACTCGCCTTACACGGCATTGACAAGTTCAAATAACACCAGGGTAACTTCCAATAATATAAATGCCCAAAGAAATGTTCAAGTTTCTCAAGTCCAACAAACTTTCTTGGGGCCACGGCCAACTTTTCCGAACGTTGCTTCAAGTGGAACAGTTTTTCAAACTCCTCAACAACTTCCGCCCAGACTTCAAACTCCGCAGTCTGTTTCAAAGCCTTCCACGGACTCAAATGTTGCAAGATTGCAGAGTTCGACAGCTCCGATTTTACTAGATTTGTTGAACAGTGGAAGCAGTAACTCAGTGAGCAGCAACTCTCTGAACAATATTTCCGACACTACGATGAAGGAACTCACCAAGAAGTGAGTCTACACATTTTTCTTTCAATATTGTTTAAGTTGCTGATAAACCAAGTCATTTGCTTATCACTGATTTTCCCAATGCGCTTGTCAGTTAGTTTTCCTCAAAAGATTTGCAATTAGTTCAGTTTTAATCCGAGATTTGTTTATGCTTGCTTCGTCACTTCGCTCGACTGCCAATATTTCCGGTTTCATTTGTGTGGCTTCTCTTGATAAAGTATAGGAGATGACAAGGAGTATTTTTATTTTCTAGAGATGTTTCACGACTGTGGTCAAACCATGATGTTAGTTTGAATGATGTTGCAGAGGTAAGCTATTTTCTTGTTGTTCATATCACATTGACTATTTGACTTACGACTTCTGTGATCATCAGTACTGCTCGACTCAGGGGAATAATTTGTGCACACTAAGCAATTTATGTCACAGAGTTATAATATACTTGCATTAACAAGCCTGATACCAAGTTAGTACAAGTTGGTACATTACACTTCTATGTTTCTACCATGTCACAAATTGAAGTTGAGTCATAACAACTTTGTGGCAACCTTTTCACTCTCAAGAAGTCAATTCTCCTTAATGTATGTTATACAACTTTCCTATAATTTTAGCTCTAAGAATTTGTTGTTCTATCAAACAAGATGCCCTACTTAATATTTCTCTTTCTTCTTGATGTTTTTTGGCTCAGTAGGGAATTGTTATTGAAAAGAGAAATTACTTATTATGTTTGGGAGTGAAAAGGTTAAGCAACCTTGTGACAACCAAATTTTAACTGTAACTGCATTACAGCTGGGCTACGATTTGCTCTTTGATCTTAAGGGTTTCACATTTCATTTAGCTTTCGGTTTTCTCATATATTCCAGTTGTAGTTCGTTTCTTGATCAATCAAGTTTTTTAGTTGTGTGTGCCATCGGCATTGCGGGATTGATATTTTATGAGACAATATAGAAGAGACAATATAGACCTTTGATAAAGTTCCATGGAAAATTTACTTCACCGTCTCCCTAACATATCCCCCAGTTTTGGTACTATTTATCTGGTCACGATTTTCTTGGCATCCCAATTTCACCTTGTTGTTTGCTTACTGCTACATTAACCCAGCATTATACATTCCTGTCACAGCTTATAAGTAGCAAGAACAAACACTTTATTTAACCAGGGTGCATAAAAGAAAATCAGACTGAACTCTCCCGTACCATATTAGGACATTAAACTGAAAACAATAATAACAACATCAACAAACAACAACACTGCTACAACAAGAATCTAACAGAAAAACATGCATGGACATTACAACTCTTTGACCTTAAGAGTGATTGACATCCATTTTCTCCTTACAATATCACCCCTGAATCACACATCAAGGTCAGGAGAATAAAGGAAATGATCACCAACTGAAGAAGCTCTTGATTGTTAAACACATCATCCTCATCAGTACCAAAGGAAATTTATACAGAACAGTTTGGAAAATATGCATACTAATGTCAGGGTGTAAAGGGTTTAACAAAAAAATACAAAACATTAACAAACACCAACGTTGAGAAACGACAATGCTACTTCAACGAGGATCTAAAAGAAAGTCCTGCATGAAAATGAAAAGGCATGCGAGGTTCATTTATAAAACTGGTCTGGTAAGGGGTGGAGGGGGATCTTCTTTTGGAAAAAGGTTGCCCTGAAAACAGATTTCAACCTCATTATTTAATAATTTGGTTTTATCGACTGAGTTAATAATGTGAATTGGCCATCGCAAAGGGCTTGAAAGCTGCTGTTTTTTTTTAGCTTTAGCCTTTTGTCAGAGCTCTTATGAAGGGCTAATGCTCCAAACATCAGTTTTCAAAACCTTTACTGTGGCCAATTTGCATTATCAACAAGTTGATAAAACCAAATTACTTTTATTATTACCCCTACTGACACAGCACTACAGTTTCTTTAGAAACTTATCCCCTTTATTCATTATTCAATACATTCTATGAGAAAATAGGATAACCCAGAAGTAACTCAGGAAATTGCAGAATGACTCCAGACGGCAGCTTTTTAGCAGTGTACCCTTACTACACAAATTCAGAAACTGTTGCATAGAGTTTGGAGCTCTTGGGATCTGGAATTTTTTAATAAACCCCTGTTATCGAGACAAGATAATCTGAAATGGCATATTAGATGAATCATTCAAATCATCTTCATTTAATATGAATACTACATTTTCAGAACAAGGATACTGTTAGTGAGGAAGCTGAAGATGAAGAAGACGAAGAGGAAGAACTAGGACAAACAGACACGTATGCAGAATATGTTCCCAGTAAATGTGAGTAATATGAACTTAGAGTAATTCAGAAAAGAACGATTCTGAATTTCTCTTTCAATGATCTAAGTGAACTAAAGGTATTTAACCCTTTAACTACCAAAAGTGATTTAAAATATAACTTCTTCCTAAAATATCCCTACATCATCCAGCAAACAGGTAATGAGAATACTCAAAATTATTAAGTAGAATTTGTTTTTTCGATGGAACACCAAATTTTCATAACTTTTTTACAAGGAAACATGAAGGGGCTAGAAGGGAGAATTGAAGGTCAGATCTTTGGAGTTTAAGGGTCGATCAGGTTTCCTAGACAGTTAACTGATACCCATTTATACCCATGAGTTGAGAGAAGCATTGTGATAGTTGAGTGTCTTGCCCAAGAATACAATACAAT